CAACTCTTTGCTATTGTGAACAAAGCCGCGATAAAGATGGGTGTGCATATATCTGCTTGGGTGGCAGGTCTCTTTAGGGTATATTCCCAGTAGTGGAACTGCTGGGTCAAATGGTATCTTTATTTGTAACTTTTTGAGAAAGCCCCATACCACCTTCCACAGTGGTTGCAGCATTTTCCACTCCCACCAACAGTGAATAAGTGTTCAAGTTTCTCCACAACCTCACCAGCATTTGTTGCTTGCTGTTCTGTTAAATTTTGCTTTTCTTACTGGGGTGAGATGATGTCTCATAGTAGTTTTCATTTTTGGCAAGCAAAGTTGTGTTGTAGTTGTTACGTAACAACACCTGATCAGCTCTTGCTTTTGACTGGCACCGAGCAACTATATAGTAGAGAAGATAACTGGAATGGGAAGTAACTTTTTTCCTTCTAGAAAGTAAATAATCATGACATTGCTAATTTTCTCTTCTTATTAATAGTTTTAATTGATATCTACCCTATCTGAGGAGGGAGTATATTTGAAGTTTTTATGAAAGATTTACGTTCGATAAATATGTAGTTGTTTATAGAATTGTGGATTTTCTAATTTTTTTTACTCTGCTTCCCTTATCTTTTACCTTTTTCTCTGCCATATTAACTGGCTGGGCTTTTTAAAAAATTTTTTTTAAATATTTAAAAGCAATGTATGATAGGGTATTATGGTTATCACAAGAGTCCACAATTAAGGTTGCATAGTGGAATGTACTTGGGGTGGTGGGAGGGGTGTGGGGGGATTGTGTACCAGGGAGGGAGTCTTTCTTTTACTTTTGAAAGAGAGGAGTGAACTGGGGGGCAGGGGGAGAGGGCTGGGCGGGGAGAGAAGTGCAGCAGTGAATGAATGGAAATCCAAATTCTCTGTAAATGTTCATTAAAATTATTAAAAAAAATAAAATTTTTAAAAATATTTGCATTTCTGTTCTATCTGGAAATGCTGAATTTCAACCCAGTTACAGACCTTCTTATACTGAAGTTAAATCATCACTGTTATTTAGTTACCATTTTCTGGTAATTGTGACCTAAACAAATCCCAGAACACTTGATCGTGCTTATGTAAAGCCTATACTTGGACCAGGAGGCAGTCAGAATAGAGCATGGAAACACTGCATGGTTCAAAATTGGAAAGGGTCTACACCAGGGATGTGTCCAATCTTAATACCTTTTCAATCTATATGCAGAACAGATTATCCAGGATGCTGGGCTGTATGAGGAGGAATGTAGCATCAGCATTGGTGGAAGATCTATCAACAGTCTGTGTTATGCAGATGACACAACCCTGCTTACTGAAACTGAGGAGGACCTGAGGTGCTTGATGCAGAAGATCAAGGGCTGTTGCCTTCACAAAGGATTGAAGCTCAACATCAAGAAAACAAAGATTCTCACCACTGGGCCGATTGGCAGCATCATGATAGATGAGGAAGAGATTGAGATTGTTAACAGCTTTTGTTTGCTTGGTTCCACAATCAACATTCTTGGTATCAGCAGCCAGGAAAAGGAAATTGAAAGATGACTTGCATTGGGAAAGTCTGCTGTCAGAGACCTCGCCAATGTACTGAGAGCAATGATGTCTGGAGTCTAAGGTGTGCCTGATCCAGGCCATAGTCTTTGCAGTTACTTGCTATGCTTCAGAAAACTGGACAATGACTAGGGATGATAAAAAGAGAGTTGATGCCTTTGAGCTGTGGTGCTGGAGAAGAGTATTGAATATGTCATGGACTGCTAGGAGGACAAACTTGTTTGTCCTGGAGAGGGTGAAGCCAGAATGCTCCTTGGAGGCAAGGATTTTGAAGCTTTGTCTGACATGCTTTGGACATGTTAAGGAGGGACCAGTCCTTGGAAAGGGACATCATGCATGGTAGGGTGGAGGGACAGTGCAGGACAGGAAGACCCTTGATGAAATGGATTGATTCCATGATTAGGATAACGGGGGTTGGTGTGTCAAGAGACAATAAGATTTGCACAGGATACAGCAGGGTTTAGGGCTGTTGTACATAGGGTCACTGTGAGTCACAGGTGACTCAACGGCACATAAGAACAACATTTCAATTAAAAAAATTTTTAGAAAAGGAAAATGCAAATGTTTTCTACTAAAAGTATCGAAAGAAAAATAGTAAAAACTGCATCCTATCAGAAGCAGGGAACATATATGAGACCTGAAATATAATGCAGTTCTAGGGACATCTGGCTCTCACAGGCTTTATTGTATTTTGCTCTTAAACCAAATGTAACTTTGAGCCTGAGTTTCTGAATCATCGTGCTATGAAGAGGTAATTAACTTTAAACCAGTTGGTCTACCATGACAGTGGCTTTCCCGCAGCATGTTGGCTTTGTGAGTTATATTGGATTTAATTTATGGTACTATTTAAAAAAATACAGAGTGGAATAGTTGCTGGGTTGGCAACCTTCAATGGTCGCTTGATAAGAAGTCCAATAAAATTTCTTCTCAGGCCATATAAAATAACAGTAATAAATTTTCAAGGAAAAATAGACAGCCTAAGCAAGTTTTTAATTGACTCACTTAAAAACTTTCTTTGCAGCTTCCCAGTTTATAATGGTTGATTTCAGCTGAGGAAATTAATTAAAAAGATTGAATTATTTATTTGCATCATTTAATGCAATTATAAAGCACCTCATTTTGCCATGAGTTCTAGATATTGAAGAGGTTCCTTCTGGCTCTTCCCTCTGCTGATAATTTGTATTCTCACCCTGTAGATACTGAATAAAAAAAAAATCTAACATTTTAACAGAACCTGCCTTTTAACCACAATCAACAATCTTGGTAATAGCAACCAGGAAATCAAAAGAGGAATTGTATTGGGAAAGTCTGCTGTCAGGGACATCTCCAGAGTACTGATGCGCAATGGTATCAGTCTGGAGATTAAGGTGTGCTTGATGCAGGCCATGGTCTTTGCATTTATTTGCTATGCGTCAGAAATTTGGACAATGACTAAGGAAAATTGATGCCTTTGAGCTGTGATGCTGGAGAAGAGTATTGACTATACCATAGACTTCCAGAAGAACAAACCATTTCATCCTGGAGAGGGTGTAACCAGGGTGATTCTTGGAGACAAGGAATCTGAGGCTTCGTCTGACACGATTTGGGCATGTGGCAAGAAGAGACCAGTCCTTGAGGAGGGACATCATGCTTGGGAGGCTGGAGGGACAGTGCAAGAAATGAAATACTGGATGAGATGGATTGACTCAGTGACTGAGGTAATGGAGGTAGGTGTATCAGAGACAGTAAGGTTAGCTGAGGATAGAGCAGGGTTTAGAGCTGTTGTACATAGGGTTGCTCTGAGTTGAAGGAAACAGCACAAAACAACAACAGAAGCAGCAGTAGTAGCAACAACGAAACCACCCCCCCCCCCCCCACCCCCGTTTAATTACAGCCTTCAATATGGATTACATCTGAACGTCAAGAAAACAAAAATCCTTATCAATGGGCCAATAGGCAACATCATGATAGATGGAGAAAAGATTGAAGTTGTCAATGATTTTATCTTGCTTAGTACGAAATAATTGAATATCTTAATTCTTTTAAAAAATGTTTTAGGAAGCTTTTATTTTGTGGGAAACTTTTTCACTTACTAGAACAGGAAATGGGTGCTCTGGTGGTATAGTCCTTAGGGAATTATGCTGTTAAACCAAAATCCATGCCTCTGGGCAGTTTAAATCCCACCTGGCAGCTTCACAGGAGAAGGAAGGGAAGTCCCCTCCTCTGCCATTAACAGTTTCCATACAATTCAGCTTTGAATTGGTTCTGACTTGACAGCAATGGCTTCACTTAAGGACAAGAAAAAAAACAAAACCCACACACCAAAACCCAACAAATCAAAACCTAAAACTCATTGCTCTGAAGTTTATTTTGATTCTTCTTTAGTCCTACAGATATCATACAGATGTAATATCTCTGTGAATTCACTTTCAAAGATTGTGTTATATTTACTAACAAAGTTATTGTGTTTTAATTCCATTTTGCAACTAGGATGCTCTAAAGATGAGTGACCAAAATTTGGAAACAATTTCACAACAGCGGAAACTTCCTGAATGGATGTCTAAACAGAATAAAAAATGTACTGGGCAAGAAAAAAAGGTATGCTCTTTATAGATTATTCTTTCATCCAGTAAATTGAATTTAAATTTGACTGTACAAAAAGTCATTCGTTACTTTGCCCAGAAAATACTTCAGTATTGCAACTTGAAGCTTAAATTTGCTCTTCTGTTCCTGAGAAAGCTTGAGATATGACACGAGTAGTTTTTGGTTTTCTCTCTTGCTGTATTCTTCTCTTTTGATTTAGGCGTGACAAATGACAGGAGCATTTTTATCTTTTGGTTTTCTAACTTTAGCTCTTTGCACATTTTGTTATAATAATTTCCTTTGTTTTTTAAGCTGCCCTCAGAATCTTTTGTTATTCTCTTTTATTCAATTTTTCTTCCTTCGTATTGACTTGTCTATGCTCTAGTGCAATTTTCAGAGTCTGTTCTGACGCCAGTTTTTAGGTTTTTTTTTCTTCTTTCTTTCTGGTCTTTATAATGACCTTTGCAGCTTCTTTTTCTTTTTTATTTAATTTATTATTAATTTCAATGAAAATTTAGGGACTTTGGATTTCCATTCATTCATTGTTGCTCTTTTCTCCCCTCCCAGCCCTCCCCCCTAGTACACTCCCTTTTTGGAAAAGGAAAAGGAAAAGAAAAATTCTTTCATTGTTTTACAATCCCTACCCCCAGGTCCACTCCACTATGCAGCCTTCGCTCTGGACTCCTGTCATGACAAAAATACCTGATAACATACCCCTTTAAAACAGTTTTCTCGCTCATCTGTTTCAATGCAGTATACATTATTGAATATATCTTTCTCAGTCCCCCCCCAACCCCCAGGTCAGTCTTGTTTTACAACAGTGGCACGGTGCAGTATTTGTCCTTTTGTGACTGAGATACTTCACTTAGCATAATGTCCTCCAGGGTCACCCATTTTGAATAATATTGCATGAGTTCCTTGTTTTTCAAGGCAGTGTAGTATTCCATTGTGTGAATATACCACAGCTTCTCTATCCATTCATTTGTTGATGGGCACTTAGGTTGTTTCCAGCTCCTTGCTATTGTGAACAAAGCCGCGATAAAGATGGGTGTGCATATATCTGCTTGGATGTCAGTTATGGTCTCTTTAGGGTATATTCCCAGTAGTGGAATTTCTGGGTCAAATGGTATCTCTATTTGTAACTTTTTGAGAAAGCGCCGTACTGCCTTCCACAGTGGTTGCAGCGTTTTACATTCCCACCAACAGTGAATAAGGGTTCCAGTTTCTCCACAACCTCGCCAGAATTTGTTGCTTGATGTTCTGTTAAATCTTGCTATTCTACCTGGGGTGAGATGATACTTCATATTTGTTTTGTCACCTTTGCTTCTTTTTTAAATGGATATTGTTCTGATGTCATACCTTAGTGCTACTCTGTTCATTGTTGTTCAAGAAATCAAATCTATTGAGATGTCTTTTAAATTCAATTGGGATGGATTAAAGTCATGTCTTGGTTCTCCTGGACTTATTTTAATTTTCTTCAACCTCAATGTGACTGTCACTTGAGTGATTGATGGTCTGTTCCATAGTCAACCTGTAGAAAGAACAAAGGCTTCATGGGGATGGCTATATCTGACCTCTTCTAACTCCACAAAGAGACTGTTCCTCACCTACAATATCCACAACACAGAACCAATTCCTATGAAGTCAGACTTGACCCCCACACTCCTACACCCCTTTATTCTCATCCCAACACCAGTCTTATTGCTCTACTGGGTGCAAAATCTGTTGTGATAGTTCACAGACCACATAGAACCCACATCGTTGTTGTTGTTATGTGCTGTTTAATTGACTATGACTAGTGACCCTTGCACAATAGCTTTATCCTGAGCCAATCTCACTGTCTCTGATTCACCTACCCTCATTACTCCAGTTATTATATCAATCCATCTCATCCAGGGTCTTTTTCTCCTGTGCTCTCCTTCCACCCTTCCAAGCATGATATTCTCCAGAGACTGGTCCCTCCTGATAGCATGTTGAAAATATGTAAGATAGAGCCTCAAAATCCTTGCCTCCAAGAATAAGCTTGGCTTCACTGTCTCCTAGACAAATCTATTAGTTCTCTTGACAAACCATGCTTGGTATGTTTAGTACTCTTCTCCAGCACTACAACTCAAAGGGATCCATTTATCTTCTATCATCTTTGGTCATTGTCCAGCTCTCTGATGCACAGCAAGTAACTGCAAAGACCATGGCCTGGATCAGGCATGCATTAGTCTCTAGACTGACATTGTTGTTCTTCAACACTCTCGAGAAGTCCCTGGCAGCAGATTTTCCTAATGCAGTTTGTATTTTGATTTCCTGACTGCTGGTGCCAAGAGTGTTGATTGTGGAACCTGAAAAAGCTGAAATTGTTCAGAATCTCAATCTCTTCTCCATCCATCATGATGCTGCTGATTACCCTAGTGGTGAGAATCTGTTTTCTTGGTGGTGATCTTCAATCTATGTTAAAGACTACAGTCCTTGACTCTCGACAGCAAATGCTTCAGGCCCTTCTCAGTTTTGGCAGTCAAATTTGTGTCTTCTTTATAAGGCAGGTTGTTGATAAATCTTTCTCCATTCCTGATGTCACATTCCTCCTCATAAAGTCCAATTTCCTGAATGATATGCTCTGCATACAGATTGAAAAGATCTGGAGGCAGGGCATATCCCTGTCATACTCCTTACCTGACATTGAACTATGCAGTGTTGCCTTGCTCTTTTCTGACCACTCACTGCCTCCTGGTCCAAGTATAGGTTTCACATGAGTGCAATCAGCTACTCTGGGATTCCTGTTCTTCTCAAGGTTAGACACAATTTGTTGTGATCCACATAGTTGCCTTTGCATAATCAATGAAACACAGATAGACATTCTTCTGGTACTCTCTGCTTTCAGCCAAGATCCATCTGACATTAGTAGTGATGTCTTTGGTACCGTGGCCTCTTCAAAACCCAGTTTGTATTTCTGTTTGTTCTCTGTCTATGTACTGTTATGGTCATTTTTGGATGATCTTCAGCAGGATTTTGCTTGCATGTGATATTAGTGGTATTAATAATTTCTGCACTCTGTTGGATGTCTTCTAGTCAGTTGGCCAAGTTGTTATGCTCCAGATTTCTTGGCACATCCAAGGCAGCATCTGTTTGTTGCAATGTCTGACTTAGTATTCCATCCATTTTTGATGGCTTGTTTTTTTGCCAGTTCCTTCAGAACAACTTACACTTCCTCCTTTTTTTTTACAATTGGTTCTTGATCATATATTACTTCATTAAATTCTTCTGTCAGCCAATTCTTTTTGATACAGTGACTCTGTTTACTCCTTCCATCTTCTTTGGATGCTTGCTTGATCATTCAGCATTCTGCCCATAGAGTCCTTAGGTATTGAAACTCGGGGTTTGAATTTGTTCTTCAGTTCCTTCAGCTTAAGAAAAGCCAAGCAAGTTCATTCCTTTTGATTTTCTGACTCCGTCTCTTTGCACATTTTGTTATAATACTTTGCTTTGTTGGGGGACGTCAAAAGACTATAATTCAGGTTGACAGCAAGATACAATCACTTTGTCAGAACTTCTGAAATGTACTTGCAAAAACGTCAGCCTTCAGCCTCATGACTTTAGGTCAGAGTTAGAAAGCTTTCAGTTCTGGCAATTATGAGTTTCCTCCCTGATCTTCCAACAAAGTTGGTCAAAAGCTCCTATCTCTGGCAGCAGTCCAAGGTCAGCCCTATTTCATGTCAGGTCTCTGGTTCTCTGCTGTGGCTGCTGCTGCTCTCTATTTGGTTTGGCTGGTGCAAGAATCTCTGGCCTCAAAGAGATTTTCAAAATCTCTTATGAATATGTTCAATTTTATGGTGAGACTAGCTAGTCCTGCTTAGATAGGCTGATGCATGCTGTTCACACATTTCCACCCGTCCACATGTCAAAGTGAAAGCGAATGGCTAGAAAAGCCATTTCGAGCAGTGAACACTTATCACTGCACAACCCCTGACGTGATTTTGACTGTTAATAGTTAGCTTCTCTGCTCTGATAATCTATTAGTAAGGAACTGCACTGCCAATGTGAAGGCACAGGACTCAAATCCACCTGCTGCTCCATAGTAGAAAGATGGGAGGCACAGTCTCCTCCTCTAGGATTATGCTGCCTCTGAAAATCTACTGGAGAGTCAGCTGTGGATTGGTTTGGACTCAGTGGCACATAACAACAACAACAACAATTGACCCTTTGTGGTCAGTCTGAAAATATGGAATGATTTTCACAGATTTGGCTAATCTGAAAATACTGATTAATGCCAGATGCTTTAAAAGACAGTGGAAGGAAGTCACTGTACCAAAAAAGAATTGGTTGATACTGAACTATTTTAGGAAGTAGAATGTTATCAAGAAAAACTAAAGCTCCAGAGATTGATGGGATATTAATTGTTTCAAAAAGCAGACACAGCCTGGACTTACCAGTCTGTGTCAAGACATTTCGGATACAACTACTTGGCTGGAAAACATCTTGTTCCATTCCATAAAACTCAATCGAACAAGGTGCAGAAATTCAAGTTTTGAACAGTATCACTAAAATCACATGCAAGTAAAATCTTGCTAAAAATTATCAAAAAATAGCTAAAACAGTCCATTGCCAGAACTACCAGAAATTCAGGCTGAATTTAGAAGAGGCATCATGGCGCCCGTGATACAACTGTTGATGTCAGATGAAGATTAGCTGAAAGAAGAGAATACCAGAAGAATGTCAGTTTGTGTTTTGTTGACTATGAAAAGACATTTAACTATGTGGAATGTAATACATTATGACAAATTGAGACAAATGGGAATTTCAGAGCACTTAATTATGCTTATGTGAAACCTATAACTAGACAAAGATACTGTTGTCTGAATAGAGTCAGGGAACATTGCATGGATTAAAATTAAAAAATGTGCACATCAGGGATGTATGCTTTCTCCATACCTCTTCACTCTGTATGCTGAGCAAGTAAATCATGAAGCTGGACTTGATGAAGAAGAGTGTGGCATCATCATCAGAGGAAGACGCATCAACAACCTGTTATGCAGATGATACAACCATGGTTGTTGACATTTAGGAGGACCTAAAATATCTACTGCAGAAGGTCAGGGACTTCAATATGGATTATATATGAACATCAAGAAAACAAAAATCTCCACCACTGCTTTATGATGTTGTTGTTAGGTGATGTTGAGTCAGAACTAACTCATAGCTGACCCTCCAGTTGTTTTTCAGACACAGTAAATCACATGGAAGTGATTGCCCATTTCTCTCCCATGGAGTACCTGGTGGATTTAAACAAAGTGTCTTAGTGTTGGCAGTACAACTCCTTCCATGAAGTCACCAGAACTCTGTGCATCATGATATTGTTGTTGTTAAGTGCCATTGAGTCATAAGCAACTCATAGCGACCCTATGAATGAAAGACCTGAACACTTGTATAACTTTCATTGTTTCTCCAAGTTCATTGGGTTTCCAGAGGCAAATATTTTGGATGTGGATGCCACTTTTGCTTCTAAGCTTGTTTTAATTGGGGAGCTCACCAAACACTGTTCACATGGATAACCGTTATCTCATTTGACACATCGGTGTCACAGTGTTTAGCTTCACAGCAACCACGCGTTACCTCTGTATAGCAAATGAACATACCAGTGCTATACCACTTAGAAGAATGTTTGACCAAAAACAATTAAAACCAGGCCTGAGGACTGCAGATTAAAATCACCCACCTTTGGCTTAGTAGCATCACTAGGCCAACTGTGCTCTCTCTATGTTGTTGTTAAGTGCTGTTGAGTTGTAGATGACTCATAGCGACCCTATGAATGAAAGACCTGAACACTTGTATAACTTTCGTTTCTCCAAGTTCATAGTTAAAGAATAAATTGCCAAAGACTTAATTTTACTTGGAGCCATAATCACCACCCAAGTTAATAGCAGTCATGAAGTCAAAGAATGTGTTAACACTGGAAAAATCTACTACCATGGACATCTCCAAAGTGCTAAAGAGGAAGGATATAAGTTTAAATACTAAGGTGCACCTGCCTTTTACATCTTTCTTATGCATCTGAAAGCTGGCCAATGAATAATGATGATGGAAAAAGAATCTATGCCATTGAATTGTGGTGTTTGGTGAGAAGTGCTGAGTACTCCATGAATTGTCAAAAATGAACAAATCTACTCTGGAAGATGTGCAACCAGCATGTTCCTTAGAGGCAGCGATAGGGTCTAGTCCTTAGAAAAAGACATCATGCTGGGTAAGTTGAGGGTTTTACAAGTAGAAGTCAAACAAGATAGATTGAAACAATGCCTTTCACAATGGACTCGAGCCTGTTGAAGTTTGTGAGTATCGTGCAGGATAGGGCAAGCTCTTGATCTATTGTTCTGAGGGTTTCTCAGTTATCATCATCATTTTGGCACACATAGAATCAGCAACATACAAGATATCAACACTTCTTGTAAATTAAGTTTTTACGTAGGTCAGAGTTGATGTAATGTGAGTGAACTAGGATCTAGTTGCATGGATATTTATTTATAGTTAAATGTGAGTGAACTAGGATCTAGTTGCATGGATATTTATTTATAGTTAGGTTGTTTTGTGTGTTTATGTGTCTAATATAGGGAGCTCCGGTGGCCTAGTGGCAAGAAACTATGCTGCAATCCCAAAAGCACATGGTTGGAATCCACCAGCTATTTCAAGGGAGCAACATGAGCAGTCTCTTCCTGTGCAATTAACTGCCTCTGAAAACCTGCTGGAGGGTTAGATATTGGTCGGTTCTGACTTGATAGTGCACAACAACAGCAGCGTCTCATATGCATTTGTTCCAGTTTTTACCATACAATCTTTCACAGTTACACCGCTAGGGTAGAATGTCTTTTTTATATCCTTTAGCTTGAGAAATGTCAAGTGTGTTCTTCTCTTGTGTTTTTGTAACTGAATCTTCTTGCACATTTCATGTCTTCTTAAACTGCCCTTTGAAATATTCTATTCTGGTCTCTTCCTTCAACATTCCTTCCTGTTGTTTTGGCTTCATTTTGGTCCAACACAAATTTCTGAATGTTTTCTGACGTCCATTTTGGTCTTTTCTTTCTTTCTTTCCTATCTTATTAATTATACCCTTTTGCCTTCTTCATAGATGATGTCCTTGCACCACTCATGTTGTTTCGGTCATTGATGTTTCATGTGCCAAATCTGTATTGTTAAGATGGTTTTTAAATTCAGGTGGGATACACTCAAGGTCATGTTTTGATTCTCGTGGACTTGCTTTAATTTGCTTTACCTTCAGCTTGAACTTGCATCTGTGTAGTTGAGATCTTTTCCAGTCAGTGCTTGGCCTGATTTTGATTTCTGATGCTGAGCTTCTCTACGATCTCTTTCTGCAAATGTAGTCGGTTTGATTCCCGTATACTTCACCAGAAGAAACAATGTGTATAGTCATCATTTATATTTTTTAAACAAGAGTCTTAAATTAATAAATCATTGATTATACAAAATTTTATCATTTGATCCCTTGTCATAATTTGATTATAGTTTTTCCTTTCACTCAACTAAATAGTTATATTTATTAACTTTTAATTGCTTATCCATACTTTTTCATCTTGGTAACCACAAAAAATAATTGTTTACAGGAAAAAGTTTCCTTAGGTTTTTATAATACTGATCTATAGCTGACCTTTTATGACTGACATCACTCAGCATAATTTTCTCGAGAATCATCCGTGTTGTGCAATGTTATATGTGTTATTTATTGTTCTTTAGTGTTGGATAATGTTCAGTATGTGAATGTACTGTAGTTTTTGTAACCATTCACCCATTCAGAGATGTTAGAGGGTTTTTCCCCATCTCTTTGGTACTGTAAATAATACAGTGATAAACATGGATGTAAGCACATATCAGTTTGTGTTCCAGCTCTTACGAAAAAGTAATTTTATAATGGAATACTTTTACCTCTTACACTATGAGCATACTCATCAGCGTTAACTAGTAAAATTTAGAACTATGTATAATTTGAGTGCTTCAGTGTATATTTTAATATGAACTTTATTTGTATCTTTTCTGAATTTTATGTGATGCAAGCCTTCTGTTCAGAAGAGTGTCTTGGAAGATGATCTCCCCTTCTTGGAATTCACTGGCTCTATTGTGTATAGTTATGAAGCCAGTGATTGCTCTTTCCTATCAGAAGATATTTGGTAAGAGATTTGAGTCACCTAATTTTATTTGAATTTGAACCCGTAGAAAAGAATAAGTATTATAATGATTTTGGTTGAGGATCTGTATGGGTTATGTGGTTATTTTTTATTTAAGCCTCTTGTTTAGAGTCAACAAGACCTCCTGAAGGGCCCTTATATTTAAAAGTTTGGCCTGAGAGGTTATATTTTAATCCCTTGTTACTATATTTTAGAGGAACAATCTTCTATGTCATATAACACTCTGATCAATTTGCTGTGCTGAGGTAATCTGGGTTTGCTGTGACACTGAAACTTGTGCCATTGGGGTCTTTAAATGCCATAATGGAACAACTGTGTCTTAGTTGTGCCAAACACCATAATGGCTACACATCATGGGCAGTGTTTGGTGGAATTCCTCGTTTAAGACAGGTTTGGAAGCAGGAGTGGCATCCACTTCCTAAACCACATGCCTCTGGAAACTATGAACTTGGAGAAACCATGATAGTTATAGAAAGACTTAGGCCTTTTTGTTCTTAGAGTCGCTATGAGTTGTACTCGACTCGATGACAATCAACAACAGCAACAACAAGAACAACAACAATGTATAAATATACTGAGTTTTACAGTTGAGATGTGGAAAATAGTTAATTTTCTATATAGCTCATCAGTGATCACTTCTAATTCTGTTTTTTTAAATAAAAATAGCATCACTGAGGTAAATTTGTAATATGCCTGCTTGTACATTAAAAGCTATCCTATTAATTTATTTTTTTAACTTTTAATATGATATTATGTATAGAATTACAGAACAATTTGTCTATTTTACCAGTTTAGGAAGTAATGGAAGAATTATTTAACATTTAAATACACCTTTATGTTTATTGGAATTATCAATATTTTATTTCTAATTATACATTTTAATTCTAGTTCTAATATTGAATAACTTATTATTTTTCTCGGTGTAATTAATTAGCAGTAATTTTTGTAAATATTCTTTAAAAAGAATATTAGAAATGACTATGAGTACTTTTAAAAGTTGTCCTGCTAAATTGACACTCTGAAGCAACAATCTAAGTGATTTGAAGCATTAGCAAAGCAGAAATGAGAATTAATTTATATCTTTTTTGACATTGTACCAGTCCTTTATTTATTGAGGTTTATAATGTTATACATTGGTTTAAAAGAAGCTGAAGTAAATGAAATTCTTTATTAATGGTCTCTTGGCAGTAGAATTTATATGTCTCCATTCCTGTTAATGTCTTACAGTATTAAAAAACTGTGCTCTATGAGCACATCCAGTACTCACCAATATAGGATACAGAACTTGGTCTTTTGCTGATTATTTAGTCTACTCAGCAAAATACCTTGCAGTTCCTTATTTTATGATGAGCCTTTCCTTTAGGGTTGTTGTGCTTCACAATTGACTCGATTTCTGTGCATGTGGGATTTCGATTGTAAATGCTGAAAAGCCTCTGGACACTGTTCAAATCCTAGTCAAAATGTTGATATTTGAACTCACTTAGATGCACCTCAAAGGATGGGCCTAGTAATTGGATTTCAAAAGGTCACAGCCTTTTACCCCTTTACATGGTGGGCTGCCATACATCAGAATGGACTTAATGACACTGATAATGATGTTGAATATCTTTTCATGAATGTGTTTGTCATATGTCTATTTTCTTTAGTGAACTATCTATTTAAGTCCATTTCCAATTTTAAAATATATTTGTCCTGTTGAGAAGATTCACAAATGAAAATATAACAATTCACCAATTTCTACATGTAAAAATTTTTCTTTAATAACATAAACCCACTACCTCTAAGATTCCTATGTAAGCTTTGAGTTGGTGTTGTCAGTTTGATCACACATACATAGTTCTTAAAACTGCAGAATATTCGAAGCAAACATTCTTTAAAGCTAAAGTGTAATGTGGTTTTAAGAAGTCTTCAAGGTATTTGTTTTTTGGTTTAATGTTTAAAGTATATCATGACAATAGTTTCAGGGGCTCGTTTAGCCTCTATATCAGAAAATTTCCATGGCAAATTGAAATTCTGTTCTGCATTTCCTTTCCTTGAACTGGATTCTCCTTTAGAAATATTGATCAAAATGTGCTGTAATGTTATTTAGGCTTCATACATTTGTTCATGGAAGTAATTTGCCACACATTTCATTTCTTCCTCATTTTCTGATTCTTCTTATTCCTCTATTGTATCAGGTGAATGGAGACCAGTTGTGCTTTGAATGGCCACTTTTAAGCTTTCAAGACTTTTATTGTACACAAAACTAGGAGATGGAATCACTAAACACTGAAATGAGGTTAGCTCACTTGAATGATATATGAAACTATGACCCAAATCAAATCCCATGAAGTAGTATAGTCTGTGGACAACTTTGCTGCTAACACAGAGACCATGCTTCTGAGGCTTGAATCTACCAGCCCTGTCAAGGGAGAAAGTTGGCTGACATCTTTTTGGAGGTGTAAGAAGAGTATGCACTATATAGGGTTAATGATAACTGACTTTTACCACTTCCACAAAAAGAGTCTGTCCCCATTAATAACATCAACAATACAAAACCATTTCCTATGAGATCAGACTTGTCCCACACTGCACCTCTTTCTACTTGCCGCAAACCAATATTATTGCTGTTATTTTGTGCTGTCTGGTTGCCTGTGACTCATAATGACCCTGTGTACAACAGCTCTGAAACCTGCCCTGTCCTGAGACAGTCTCACTGATTCTGACATACCAACACCCATTGCCCCAGTTACTATATTAATCCATCTCATCCGGGGTCTTCCTCTCCTGTGCTGTCCTCCACCCTTCCAAGCATGATGTCCTTTTCCAAGGACCGTGGCCATGTGCCCAAACTCTGTGAAATAGAGCTTCAAAATCCTACCCTCCAAGAAGAAACTTGGTTTTACCCAGACAGACCTTTGAGAAGTTCAAACAAAAGGAAATGATGCTGAAGTAAAAGAGCTGAACATATTTCCAAGATCAGCTTGAGAAGACAAAGCGTAGTATTGTAATGGAATGTGCCGAGAACTGTAATTGCAGAATAACAAGGGAAGAACTTACTCTGCATTTCTCAGGCAGAGAGAACAGAAAAACAAATTTAAGCCTTCATTCACAGTATTGAAGGATGCTATTGGCAATATGTTGAATGATCCAGGACACATCAAAAGAAGATGGAGGGAATACACAGACTAACTGAACCAAAAAAAAATTGACTGAAACGGAACAAGTTCAGAACTACCATATAAGCAAGAAACACTAGCAATGAAGGAAGAAATTGAAGCTGCACTGAAGGCAGCAAAAAAATAAGGCCCTAGGAATTGATGTGATATCAATTGACATGCTTCAACTAACAGATGCATCTTTGATGTGCTCATTGGTCTATTTCAGGTAATTTTTAGGACAGATGTCTGGCCTACTGATTGGAAGAGATCCATATTTATTCCCATCCCCAAGAAAAGTAATCTAACAGAAAGTAGAAACTATCAAACAGTATCATTTATATCACATGTAAGCAAAACACTGCTCAAGATCATTCAAAAACAGCTAGAACAGTACATAGATAGGGAACTGCCAGGAGTTCAGGCAGGATTTAGAAAAGGCCCTGGTACCACTGCTGATGTTAGATGGCTATATACCAAAAGAATGTCTGCTTTCTTGACTATGAAAAGACATCTGACTATGTGAATCATAAGTTATAACTAACATTGAGAAGAGTAGGAATCCCAGAACACTTGATTGTGCTCATGTTAAACCTATATTTAGATCAAGAGGCTGTTGTACAGAGCAAGGGAACATTACATGGTTTAAAATTAAAGTGGTACATGAGGGCTGTATTCTATCTCCATATCTATTCAGTCTGTAATGCTGAGCAAATTATTTGAGAATCTGGACTCTGTTAAGAAGGATGTGGCATCAAGATCAAAGGAAGACTCATCAACAACCTGTGTTGTACAGATGCTACAACCTTATTGCTGAAAGCGAGAAGGACTTGAAGCACTTGTTGCAGAAGACTGAAGAATATAGTCTTCAATATGAATTGCATCTCAATATCAAGAAATAAAAAAAATATTGCTACTGGATTAGTAGGCAGCATCATGATCACAATCAGCACCCTTGGTACCAGCAGTCAGAAAATCAGAAAATGTATTGCTCTGGGAAAGTCTGTAGTCAGAGACCTCTCCAAATTATTGAGGAGTATTGATGTCAGTTTGAAGACTAAGGTGGGTGTGATTTAGGCCACGGTCTTTTCAATAACTTGTTATGCAATTTAGAGCTAGGTGATGAATAAGGATGACAGAGGAAGAATTGATGCCTTTGAGCTTTGGTGTTCAGGAACAGTACTGACCACCCCATGGACTGCCAAAAGAACAATTATGTCTTGGAGAAAGTGCAGTTAGAGTGCTTCTTGGAGACAAAGATGATAAAGCTTCGTCTGACATACTTTGGGCATGTTGCTAGGAGAGGCTATTCCTTGGAGAGGGACATCATGCTTCGAACAATGGAGGGTTGACAAAAGAGAAGACTCTCACCATGGTGGATTGGCACAGTGACTGCTGCAGTGAGCTGCAGTGTGTTAGTAGGAAGTTTGAGGATGGCACAGGATATACCAGAGTTTAGATCTGTTAATTGTGTTGCTGTGGGTTGTACGCAACTAGATGGCATTTCACCACCACCACCACTACCACCATCACCACCACCACCACCACCACCACCACCACCACCACTTTTACTGACTTCCACCCTGTGCATGAGGATCCTGGTATTTAGTAAATACTTAAGATCTCTGAACCTCTTTTCCTGCTCCAGAACTCTGCCTCATAACTTTTAGCTGACTTAGCCTTTTTGAGCTTTACTATCTATGTCTTGAACTTAGTGCTGTTCCTTTTGTTTCCTTTTCTTGTTTGCCTGTCTGCGGTGCGCTCTTGACTAAAAGCTGGCATAATCTTAGGGCTCATTTCCTGCATTATCTGCCATCCAGTGTCCATAACCAGTTGTTTCATGTTATTTTGTTTCATTTTTATTTACTTATAATAGGAAGAGTAATCTAGGTCCTATCACACCATCTTGGTCTGAAATAGAATTTCAGTGTTTCTTATTATTTAAATATATTTTAAGATGAAAAAATAGAAATAATAGGTAATAATGTATTATATACATACTACCTAGCTTTATAAAAACTCCTTTTGAAATAACTTAGCTGTTGGGTGTTTAACATTTTCTCTCCTGATTATAACAATAGGCTGGGGCATATCAGAGATGGTGATGGTACAGAATAGGGCAAGATTCAGAACTGTTGTTCATAAAGACTCTTTGAATTATAGTCTGTTCAGTGGCACCTCACAACAACAATAACTACATAATTTTATATCTAGAAATAAATATTTTATTCTACAACTTGAAAAAGTATGCTGTTAAATTACATGATATTCTGCAACTTGTACTTTTCCACATTTTATCTTTTTTATATACCTAGTTCTATTTGTTTTAAGTTTCATAAAATATTGTTTTAATATACTACCAGCTAGTTGAAGAAATTTAGTTTATTTCTAATTTTGCCACGAATAACATGACATAGTGAACATTTTTTGGCATGTTTATGAGCACGTAGAGTTTCAGATATTTATGGAAAAAAAGTATTGAGTCATTCATATTTTTTTCTCAAAAAATTCCATTTTTAATTGATCAGTATATGAGAGATCCTAATTCTTAGCACTTCCTGTTAATTTTCTATCGTTGTTAGCTCTTGATATTAAGATTTCAGTTATTGATAGCAGTACTATTAATATTGATAATTCAACTCTTTGTGCCAGATATTTTAATTTTTCTAGTTTCATATATGTCAAATGGTATAGATTTATTTTAATTTGGATTTTCTTGATTTCTAGTGAGGTTTTTTATCTTCACACATTTATTTGGCTGTTTGGATGAACATGTTTTAATTGACTGTTTATATTTTCACTGCTTTCCTACTGGGTTGTTTGTCTTTATCTTGTTGATTTTTTAAAAAATTTATTAATTTTAATGAACATTTACAGAGATTTTGGATTTCCATTCATTCATTATTGCACTATTTTCTCTACCCCCCCCACTTCATTCCTCTTTTTTTTCCCCTTGAAAGTCTGTTTTAACTGTCCCATTGCCACAGTGCTTGTCAAAACCAGCTCTGATTAATCTCCCTTGTCAGTGTGTTCCTTGCCATTCCCTATGACTCCTCCCTAAGAGAGATTTCACCCTGATTCATAAGGAAAAGGGGATGACATATTCTCTTAGCTACTTCCTGCTGAAAAGGGATGCTGTAGGTCTCAGGGTGAAGATCTTCTCTCACTACTTTAAAGGGCCCCTTTGGCAATAGGAAACATGTAGACCATTGTAGAGATTGATTTTGGAATTTAGATGCACTGGTATCAATTGTGTTTAGCCATACATGTTCATATCCTTGAAGATGTATCATGGAACTTTTGCAGCCTAGAATACACAAACTTAACCAACAAGTTAAAAGTACATGAGTCAAAAATTAAAAGCAATAATATTTCAAGTAGAGGTTCTAACAGTGGCACAAATCAAGTTACAGAGGCAAGGTAGTTCTTAAAATAAAAGGCTTATTGACTAGCACTTTGCCTATTATAGTATAAAGGTTAGAAACCACAAGATATAGAAGCTCAACTATATCATTTATTGTTCTTAAGTCCTGGACCAAATTCCATCTACCACTGGGTTGTTTTACAGCTCGGAAGTCCGCATGCAAGGCAGAGGTGAAGTAAGGAACTGCTTATGAGGTTTTCCATCAATTCCAACAACTAAGAAATAGTGAGAAGAGTTGGGACCTCAGAAGGATTTTAGGACCAAACGATAGGCTCTTGTGTCCAGGAGAAAATGAATATACTTATCAGTAGTGTTAATGCTCACCCACAGCTCTTCTGGGAGGATCTAAATCACTGAAGTGCTATCTTGTTGATTTTTAAGGCTATTCATTGTCTGTTATATATATCATTGACTCTTGCATTAGGCTGGCTTGTCATTTAGCTTTTTGAATGGTATCTTTAGTTATATAGACGTTTAAAAACTTTTAAAGATAGGTTGTTTAGAATTTGTACCCTGAAACATACACCAATTTCTACATGTAACATGTAGTGGCATTTGTATTCTTCAAGTTCTGCAACATTTCTTCCTTTTATGAATTGTACTCAAGTACAACTCATGGCAGATATTCTTTATTAGATAAACTATTGCTAAGAAATTTAAGATGTTAATGCAATTAATTTAAATTACTTTTCTTTCTTTAGCATGAGCCTATCTGATGGAGCTGTGATAGGATTTGACATGGAATGGCCACCAGTTTACAATAAAGGGAAGCTAGGCAAAGTTGCTCTAGTTCAGTTATGTGTGTCAGAGAACAAATGTTACTTATTTCACGTTTCTTCTATGTCAGGTTGGTATCCTTTTCCTTTTATTTTTATGTAATTGATGATTTTATCTATCTGTTTTTCCCCCTTGAATGCAATGCATTTTTTATTCCTGGCACTTTTCTCATTCACTTCTGTTTCCTTAAGTGTTTACATCTGATTCCCTTACATTTTGTTATTTTTAATTTCTACAGTACTCCTCCATAAGGTATGTGAGGCTGATAATATTCCTGTTTTAAAGAGGAGAGAAATCATGTTTTAAGGGATGAATGACAGGGAATGTATTACTAACATTAGTGTAGGAAGCATTCATACTTTGTTGTTTTTTTGCCTTTTATTTACCAGTTAGGGTGTTTCGCTTCAGGTTAGAGAAGAAATACCCAAGATGAATGTGGTTCTTAATGTAATTTAAATGTAAACATGAATTTCAACATAAACTTTTTATTTGTAACAGGTAGAAAATCCATCATTCTTGGTTGAACCTCTTGGAATAACAATAAAATGTTATAGTTTTCCCCCAGGGATTGAAAATGTTACTTGAGAATGAAGCAATTAAAAAGGCAGGTGTCGGAATTGAAGGAGATCAGTGGAAACTTCTACGTGACTTTGACATCAAATTGAAGAGTTTTGTGGAACTGACAGATGTTGCCAATGAAAAGGTAGAAGCAGGCATAATTTTTTCATAGATAACTTTGTTTCTCACAGAATATTCTATTTTCATGTTAGAATTTTTTTAAAAAAACAAAGATATATTATGATTTTGTTCCAAACGAATGTTCTATAATGAAAAGCTTCAGTTCTAATCCATTTTTTTGGCATACAGTTTAAGTGTGCCCCTCTCATTTTTTGGGACTTTTAAACTTTCTTTCATTTGTTTTGAATCGTTTAAGTATTATATTTCAAGTTCATCTTTATAATTCCTATCAATAATAAATGAAATTTTTCTCCTCTATTTACTTGTCTTTAGAGTGAAATGTAGCTCTTATTTAATAATAATCTTAACAGAAGTTTGAGCATCAGTTTCATCAGCCTTATTTCACATATTTTATTAATATGTCCATTAAATTAAATCTCAGGTTTTAGCCAAGTGCTTATTTGGCTGGAAAGTAAAAAGCCTATTAACTATTCAACTTTTTTCTAAGAACACTACTTTTATAGTCCAAGAACTTTAATAGTTATGTTGGGTAAATTCCAGATTTAAATTCTTAAAATATTGACTGTACATAAGATTTTTAGTGGTCTTAATGTATTGTAGAATACCTTTGGGTTAAATTTTGGTTTGACATTTCCAGTTTTATTTGTGACATGAACACAATATAATGGGAACACCAGAAAACAGGAAAAATTAATTTTTTCCATGTTGATTTTTTTCCATTACCTGTAGTTGAAATGTACAGAGACGTGGAGCCTCAATGGTCTGGTTAAACATCTCTTAGGCAAACAGCTTCTAAAAGACAAGTCTATCCGCTGTAGCAATTGGAGTAAGTTTCCTCTCAGCGAGGACCAGAAACTTTACGCAGCCACCGATGCTTATGTACGTACTAAAAGATCTTTAGTCTTAATGATATATTTTAAAAACATTATTGTAAATTCTCTGTGAAAATTTCATTGTGCTAATGGCACAAATTCAACTAAAATATTTTTTATTTGCTTAGGTATTAAAATGCTTACAAAGACATCTAGTTATCAAATCCTCAGTGTTAATTAAAAGTACAAATCAACAAAATTATTCAGGGTTATTTTCATCTTCATGTAGCTGAAATAATATCTGTTTTTATATGTAAGAAAAGTTAACTCTGTGAAAACAAGAGTAGATAATAATAAGTCCAAGCCGAGCAAGCACAAATGACATTAATGATATATTTCATTTGTAAGCAACCTATGAATGAAAAGAATTACAAGACAGTTTCTATATTGAAATTAGCTTCCCTTCCTGTATTTAAAATGTGGTGAAAAATAAGAAAAATTACCTCCAAATTTAGCTTACTATTAGCCAGAAGCATTTTAAATTTAAAATCTTTGAGCAAAATGAAACTTATGTTTATCTTTATATAGAGAGCTTTTGCAGGTTTGAAGGTTTTTTTTTTCATATATATTGTGTAAAATACATATTTTTTTGCAAAATTGATTTCCCCCCTTTAATTCATAAATTTATTTGTAGGTGATTTATTTGTAGGAAAAATAGTGAAGGAGAAGAAGACCCCCAATGAGATAGATTGACATGATGACTTCAGCTCTTGTGTTAGTAATGATGAGAATGGCATAGGATAGGGCAGGGTTCAGGTCAGCTTTTCATTCTTGATGGCACCGAACAACGATAACAGTAACCTTGTTTCACAGTTTGCATCTGTTTTTAGGAATGGAAATTTTTTTGGCTTTTCAACTTAAATAAATTATTTTTGTCAATGTAATAGATGACAATTTTTTTTTCTATTTGGTTTTAAAAATCCCAACATACAATTTATAGCTAATATGAGTTTTGTAACATTTTTCTTAAATGACACATCATTGTCATTTTTATTAAGAGTATCCAGGAGGAGAACTGTTTATATACTAATTTTCTCAGCTTATTTAATAAAGTAGAGGGGGTTGGATACTTATAGTCAAAACTTTTTACTTAATGTTGTCTTGTCTTCCATTGCTGTTGAGTTTGTGTAGTTCAAAATGAACCTATAGATCAGAGCAGAACTGTCCATAGAGTCTCCAAGTTCCCTCGGTGATGCAGTGGTTAAGAGCTCACCTACTTACTGGAAAGTTGAGAGTATGAACTCAGTAGCCACTCTGTAGGGAAAAGATATGCCAGTCTTCTGTAAAAGTGAAACCGTGGAAACGCTGTGAGGCAGTCACACTCTGCCCATTAAAGGTACTATTTATGAGTCAGAATAGACTCAGTGGCAATAGATTTGAGATTTTTAATTTAATCTTTATAGAAGTAGATTGTCACTAATTATATTCTGCGTATAAATTACTTATTTGTATATTATTGATTTAGATAGTGTTTATAATACTGAGTATTAAAAAGCAAATTTTATTTACTTTTGCTTGACTGTTTATGAAGATGTGTGATCTTTGCATAATATGATAGTTGTATTCAGCTTTTTAGATCCTTTGGTAATCATACTTTTATATTTTTCAAAGCCAGAACAGATTTTTGTTTGTTTTCTTCAGCCTTTTTCTTTTTCTGCTGTATAGGCTGGTCTCATAATTTTTCAAAAATTAAAAAATTTGGATGATGCTGTGCAGATGTTTACTTTAAATAAAGGTAAGTTATGATGGTGAGTAGAACATAATTGGAATTTTCCTCTGTTGTGAATTTTATGTCCAAAAAAGATAATATTCACACAGGTGCAGAAGTGTTTCATATTACTGTAACCTTCTTGAGGATTTTGTAGTGTTGATGTCAGTGTGAAATCCATCTGAGGAAAGAGTAAGGCTTTAGTTTTATTGATTGTGGCAAAGCAGGGTTTTCTAACCCCATTTTGGGGCATCACTGATTACTTAGTATGGCAGATGTATGAATATTGGAACAGTACAGAGATTTGCATGGTCCCTGTGCAAGGATGACATGCTAATTCATAAAGCATCCATATTTTTATGCCTGGTTATCTTTATGGTTTACCTTTAGAGGTACACTACGTGAGAGTTCAGTTATTAGGGAATGATTTGCATGCTGCCAGATACTTTCTATCTTAGAAATTATTTTTATCTGTTCCTATTGATACAGCACTTATCTTTGAGACTTCTGCACTTGGTATAACTTATCGCATGCTCTAATGATGGAATCTGTACCACCAGTGGATCAGATGCCAGAAGAGTCATCCATGGTAGAGAGGTTGCAACATAGCTCCTAGATTAAGACAGACTAGGAAAAGGATTGGTCATCCACTTCCAAAACAGTGGGTTTTTAAAAACCTATAAACAGAGGAATGATGGTAGTTACAGTGTTAGATATAGAGGCCTGATAGAAAGTTGTTCAGAAATGAGTCAATGTAGAAATGGCTACAAATAACCATTAATAATTGGATCTTGGAATGTACGAAGTATGAATGTAGGAAAAACGGAAGTTGTAAAAAATGAAGTTGTATGTATGAAGATTAACATTCTAGACATCAGTCAGCTGACATGGACAAGCATGGGCCACTTTGAACGAGACAGTCACATGATCTGCTGTGCTGGGAATGAAAAACTTAGAAAAAATGGTGTTGCATTTATAATTATAAAGGCAATGTCAGGATCCATCTTGAAGTACAATGAGTGTTAGGATACAATCCAAATATGACTATTACTCATATATTTACCACTAGAGCCAACAAGGAGGAGATTGAGAATTTCTACCAACTTGTGATGTCCAATGTTGACCAAACATGCAATTAAGGTACATTCATTAAAAAACAAAAAAAAACCCCCAAAACCTTACCAAACATTCATAATTATAGGTGAATGGAGCACAAAAACAATGTGGAAGGAATGGTAGTCAGAAAGTATGGACTTGGTGACAGAAATGAGGCTGGAGATTGATTGATTGGATTTTGTACTCAATGATTTGTTCATAGCAAATACCTTTTTTTTTTTAAAAAAAACCACAAATGGTAACTTTGCACATGGACCTTACCTGATGGATTGCACAGGAATTAGATTGACTTACTTGTGGAAAGAATCATTTGAGAAATACAATATCTGCCGTCAAACTCACACCAGATCCGATTGTGGAACATCAATTACTCATGTGTAAGTTCAAATTAAAGCTGAAAAAAAATGAAAGTCCAGAGGAACCAAATTATAACCTTCAGTCTATCCCAGTTGATTTAGCAATCATCTTAAAAACAGGTTTGAGGCATTGAACACCAATGAGTGAAGACCAGAGAAACTGTGGGAGGACATCAAAGATATCATCCATGAAGAGAGCAAAAGGTCATTACAAAGAAGGATGAAAAATAAAAAAATAAAAATGGATGTCAGAAGAGACTATGAAAATTGCATTATCACATCAAGAATCCAAAACAAAAACAAGAGTTACTGAAGTAAAAGAGCTGAACAGAAGATTTCTAAAGGCAGCTTGAGAAGATAAAGCAAAATATTATAACGATATTTCTCTGGAGTCAGAGAATAACAAGGGAAGAATTCACTTTGCATTTTACAAGCAGAACTGAAAAACTCAAGCCTCAAATTACAGTACTGACAGGCGCTGGCTGAAAATCGCCTGTGACTTCATCCATAGCCACTGGTGAGAGTCAGCGCCCAGAGCCATCAGGGGCTTTAAGCTCGTTGCCCACTGCTGTGGTGTGGACAGCTGAAACGCAGGCCCCGACAGGCACCTGGTGGGGGGGGGGAACCCAGACTCTACTTCATGCTCTGCTGGAGAAGGAGGGGCAGTCTCCTGTACCAGTCAGATCCAATTTGATGGTACACACACACACACTTTTTCTTCTTCTTTTTTTAAAAAAGACTACTTCAGCCATCGCGGCCCTCTGCCCGGGGCGGGCTGTCGTGGGCCTCTGTCTTGGGTGGGGTGGTCTCGGCCCTCTGCCCGGGGCGAGCCGTCGCGGCCCTCTGCCCGGGGTGGGCTGCCCTCGGCCCTCTGCCCGGGGCGAGCCGTCGTGGCCCTCTGCCCGGGGCGGGCTGCCCTCGGCCCTCTGCCCGGGGCGAGCCGTCGCGGCCCTCTGCCCGGGGCGGGCTGCCCTTGGCCCTCTGCCCAGGGTGAGCCGTCATGGCCTTCTGCCCGGGGCGGGCTGCGCTTGGCCCCCGGCTCGGGGCGAACCGTCGCAGCCCTCAGGAGCAAAAAGGCAAGCAGCTATAACCCAAGACCACCAGTAAGGTGATAAAGCGTCCTCCCTTCCCCCCTTTATATCTACGCCTCTGTTCAGCATGAAGAAGCCAGAGAGTCGGCATCCAATTCCCAAATCAGTAAGACAGTTGGTTTAATTACTATTGGAAAATGCTTGTCATTCCTCTGTAGCATCTGGTCCCCATTGGACCCTCATCATTTCCTTCACCTGCTCCCCCCACCGACCAAACTGCAGCTCTGCAACTGCATCCTGGCCCATCCTCACCCTTCTGCCCCCAACCCTCACCTCCTTGTACCCCCAATATGTTTTTCCCAATAAAAAAAAATATTTAAAAAAATTACAGTACTGAGAGATACTTTGAACAAATTTTGAACGATTGAGGAAACATCAAACGAATATGGAAAGAATACACAGTCACTGTACCAAAAAGGAATTGGTTGACACTGAACAATTTTAAGAAATACCATATAAATAAGAACCAGTTATAATGAAGAAAGAAATTCAAGCTTCACCTAAATAATTTTTTAAAAAGTAAGGCCCCAGGATTCGAATCAGGATACCAATTGTCATGTTTTAGCCCCGGGTGTGTTCACCAGTCTATGCTAGGAAATTTAGAGGACATCTGTGTAGCTGACTGACTGGAAGAGGTCCATATTTCTTCCATTCCCCAAAAGATGACTCAACACAATGTGGAAATCATAGGCAAATATCATTAATACCACAGGCAAATAAATTATTGCTGATGATTATCCAAAAATGGCTAGAACAATAATATATTGACAGGGGACTCCCAAAAGTTCAGGCTAGGTTTAGAAGAGGCTGCAACACCAGAGATATCATGGCTGATATCAAATGGATACTGGTTGAATGCAAAGAATTCCAGAAGAATGGCTATTTGTATTTTACTCTTTATGCAAAGGTATTCAACTGTTTAGAATTAAGGCTAACATTGAGAAGAATGGAAATCCCAGAACATTTATTTGTCCTTATATGGAGTCTTTACCTAGACCAAGAAGTTGTCTGAATGGAGCAGGGGACCACTACGTGGTTTAAAATCAGGAAGGATGTGCATTAGAGTTGTATCCTTTGTCTATACTTACTAAGTTTTATACGCTGAGGTAATAATTCACAAAGCTAGACTCTATGAAGAAGAATATGAAATCAGGATTGAAGGAAGACTCATCAATAATGTGCATAATACAAATGACATAACCTTCCTTGGTGAAAAGTGAGGAGGATGTGAGATATGAAAAACTTGCTGCAGAAAATCAATGCCTTTAGTATGAATTATATCTTAACATCAAGAAAACAGAAATCTTCACTACAGGACTAACAGTCAACATCATGATAGACAAAGAAAGGATTGAAGCTGTCATTAATTTAATCTTGCTTGGATCAATATCAGCAGCCTTCTCAGTAAGCAGTCTGGAAATTGGGAAATATATTGTATTGGGCAAGTCTGCTGTAAGGGACCTTTCCAGAATGCTGAAGTGCAGTGATATCAGTTTGAAGACTAAAACTCACCTAAGATTCAGTCCACAGTCTTCTGTATCACCTACTTTGCTGGAGAGCTGGAGAGCGATAAAGGATGGCAGAAGATGCCCTTGAGATGTGGCTTGGAGAAAAGTACTAATTATTCCATGGACTACCAGATAGGAACAACAGGTCTTGGAAAAAGTGCAGTAAGAGTGCTCTTTGGAAGCAAAGATGGTGAAGCTTTGTCATCTTTCATACTTTGGACATGTCGTTTTCTGGACTTGGAGTTCCAGGAAGAGGAGGAGGTGGAAGAGATGGGCGTGGAGCTTTGGGACATCGAGCTGGTATGGCCAAAGCCAATGTGACAAGGGCCAAGGACATTCGGGCACTGAGGGGCATCATTGATGCCATTATGGAGCTGACAATTTTGCTTTGAGTGGCAAGCCAACCAGTCCTCCCCCTGCTCCCTCTTCCTAGCCCTGCTACTTAATAATTATGTGCACCCCTAAAAATAAAATAAAAATAAAAGGCTATTTGTTGGAGAGGGACGTTATGCTTGGAAAAATGGAGCGTCAGCAAAGAGAGAAAGACCTCCAGTGAGATGGATTGACATGATGGTTTCAGCAATCAATCCATTTGTGTCAGAGTTAAGGAGAATGGTTCAAGATAGGGCTGAATTTGGGTAGACTGTTCATAGGATCACTATGTGTCATATTTGACTTGACAGCACCTAACCACACAACAGCTTTGGAAATGATTTAACTAGTTATCTCTTAGATAGTCAGAAATTGTACAATATTTATAGAAATATTTAAGATCTATGATGTTCCATACATTGTTTTTGTGTGTGTGTGTGTTCTTGTGTTTCTTTTTTTAAATTAATTTTAATGAAAATTTAGACTTAGGGTTTCCAATCATTCATTGTTGTACTTTTTTCCCTGCCTCCCCCCTCCCCCCCCATTTACCCTTCTCCTTGAAAAATAAAAGAAAAACTCTTTCA